ATTTATTATATGTTAAATATAACATGTTACTTCCCTATTATTATTCAATAATTTATAAATTCATCTAAACGATCGGTTAATTTCTCGCCCAAATGATACAGCTCTACTCAGGTAAATTTTGGGTTATTCGCCCAAGTGAATGACGCCCCCGACCGGTCTCCGGCGGCCTGTGCAGGCATAACTGACAGGCCGACCGGACCGTGTGTGGCTACCTTTACGAACCTAAGGATACCATTGGTTTTTAATGTTGTTTAATTTTAGTTTGAATATTTATTTTTCCCCGAAATCACGACGACGTTTATCGCCGATAATAATTGTATACCGTATCATTATAATTCTGTCGCAATTTGACATAATAAATGGTATGAATAACATTTCCAACACTAACATAATATCCATTCAAATTATTTTACGCTGTATACAAGTATACACCGTGTTCCTCAGAATACAGGGTGATTCGAAAAATATAAAACTATTTTTATTACGCGATGAAAATTATTTTTAATCATGAAGTATTTATAAATAAAATGAGATTATTATTTGTTTACTTTTTCTGCGGCTATTCTAGTCGTAAAGTACGTTATAGATAAAGTGATGAGTACGTATTACGGCGTCGACGCGTAGTCGACCGTACGTAGTTTCGGCGCGGCGACGAGGGCGACATAGGTTTGTTCGTTTTGACAAAAAGTGTACACTTTTTCATAATGGTATACACCTGAAGCGTTTGTTTTAGAAAAGTGTTAGCGTACACACTGTTTGTTTTGAAATATTGTGGGTTTGGTGTGTACACTGTATCCACACCAACTAAAGTGCAGGACGTGTCGAACTTGATTTTTGGTGTGGAGCCAGTTATTATCATAAATATTTCCTTATCGCTCACCACATGCTGACTGCCTGAGCCTGAAACGTTTGTTTTAAATTGGCACACCACACGCCGTACCCAACACTTCTACACTATAGTGTAAACACTTAGTTTTTAAAACGAACAAAGCTAATTAGCGGAGCTCAACGTGTTAATTGGCCAGAACGAGACGTAACATGTCGTATGAAATCTATTCGTTATCAGATTAACTTCGATCAAACAATTATCAAAATAATATTTATCAGTGTTATGAAAAATTTTATGAAAAATCCTTCGTTTGTGAAATTAATAGCATTAATGATAAATAATAGTGGATAGTACTGATAGTAGTCATCGTATAGTATCAGTAGTTGTATACGTTTTGTCCATGCTAATCACGATCACATTAGAATAATAAGTAATAACACCTCCAAGGTTCCAAATTTAGCACGATAGAAATCTGAAATCGATTACTTCTATCGCGCACTTAAATTAATCGTAAACATTTTCAAGCTTGCGATTYGACCAAATTTTGTTATCGTTTCTTCATAGTCTGCTAGCGTATTATTGAAACACCACTGGTGCACAAGATATGTTGCAAACTGACGTTTCAGATGGCTGCACCAACGTCTGTGTAGATGATTCCGAGTTCAATGTCTCGTTCGTTTTGCTGCGGAATGTAAGTTGAATTTTATCTCATAACGGTGATAAACAATGGGACTTTCCAKCGATGACTGCTGTCGATGTGTAAGAGTATAGAACCGTCAACCGGTTCAGTATTTGACTATCTGTGGCTCACACAATTGATAAAACAATAGTATCTACCTGTGACCTGCCCTACTACTTTGTTAAGGATAAAAAAAAAAAATTAAAAATCTGTCATATGTCACTGTGTGATGTTTGGTGAACATTATGMATCGTTCAATGCCTAGTAATATTCTTTTGCTAATTATTTTTGTTTAGTTTTATATCTGTCCGATAAATATTTCTTAAACACCAATCAATGCACAGTTATAACTTATAACTTATTAAGTTTATGTATATCAAACAACGTTCAAATATATATTTTTGAAATTTAACATACGTTGTTCTCAAATATTCTATTAAYTTATTTGCAAAACAACAGTATATTATTGGTGACATTTAAATTATCATGACTAAAATAATAATGAGTATACATCACTGATGCCTATACTATACTAGATTAGGAACTCTGAATAAAGTGAATACATAATAATAAAGATCTTCCATTATGTTTTGGGTTGGCATATATATATATATATATTAATTTAAAAATTATTAAATATTTAGGCAGGTAACATATTAAAACGTATTAAAAGATTGAACATGTTCRTATTCGTATTTAATTTACCTACAAAATTAATTTTATGATGAGTTCCTTAACTAGTGTAGTATAGAGGTTTATAACACCAGTGTTCCAATCATGACCAAAATACACTTTGTCATGGTTTCAATATTGTATTAATATTCGATAATATGTAAACAAACTACTCAACAGGTTCTTATAAGCCTTTTTTATTCTACCATTGATGAAATTGTTAAATGAGGAGAAAAAGGCGTAACAATTTGTTTATCATTAGGCCATTCAGAAAAATAGGCACTGTATGTAAAATCCATTGCTATTCATTTTGTAATCAATCGGTTAATATTTTCAGATTTAATATTTAAAAACTGTATATAATTATTCAGTTAACCGTTTTAATTTTAATTATGGATGATGATAACTGTCTTCAACTGAATGATGATCCAATTCAGTTTGTTCCTGCAAGTGTAAGCAAAACAACAAATGTGTTTTACGATGAAATTACTGGACAGGTAAACAAACTATATACAATAAATAATATAAATTTAATAAAACAAGATTTAAGTATGAAGTAATGATATTCATTTATGATTTTATATTGTTGTTATATTAATTATATTTACTAAATGCTTTTCATGTAATAGTTTGAAACTGTAAATACCAATTATTATTACTATTTATAGCTTACACTTTTTTAGATAATTACTGTTCATTCTGGTGAGCTGACTGAAATAATTGTGACATCAAGTAATCGTTATAGAGAAAATATGGTATTTAAAATTGAAGATCGGGGACCAGTGTCGTCAATAAAAATGTCCCTGGACTGTAAAATATTAACAATGATGAGAACAGCTTTATCTGTGGTAAGTTTTTGTGCATATATATTTTATCAAAATATATGGTGACATTTTAATTGACTTTAAATAGTAAGGTAAAATATAAAGTGTATAGTATACATTATTTAATGGTAATTACTAATTTTTATCAAATACAATTCACATTTTCTATTTATTTTGTTGAAAATCATAATTTTATTTTTATTTTTCACTGTGTTGTACAGCTGTTTAATACACAATGTCTTAMATCTAATATATTAAGCATATGAATAAAAAGTTACTTATGTAATATTATTTATTATTCTCCAAAACAAAAACAAATTTTAAAATTAATAAATGTTAGTATTTAAATAGGTTTATTTGTTTTAATGTTTAGTTAAATACCCATGCAAAAGTATTAGGTAGATTTTTTTTAATGTACGATAATGCATTGTTATATGGTTAAGAAAAATAATTCTTCAATATTATTGAAAATAAATTCAAATATTATTGAGACTACAGTTGCATACTTCAATTCAAGCTACTTTTTAAATTATTTATATAACAAGCTTTGTTTGTTTATSATAAAAATTTAAATTTAGTTTTATAGGTTTGAAATAATGAATGAATTATTGTATCAATAATTTAATATTGTAATATCAAATCTGTCAAATTATATCATTATTAAAATGTATGTTGATAATTTTACTGTTACTTTTGTTGTACCTATGTCATTTATTACATRTTATATAATTTCTAGGAATTAATGGATATTAAAGAAAATACATTACAAAGTCCTTATTTTTTGTACTGTAAATTMAAAGGTGCCAAATTGTTGGGCTTTATTTGGACTAGTAACAATGAAATACTATTAATTAGTGATAAAGGTGTAGAATTATACCAGGTAAAATAAAAACTTAATACTTTAAACTTTTTAAATCATGCATATATTCATGTCTTTATATAGGTTGAAGGCCAACCTAAGCAACGTATATTATTTTCAAAATCCATAAATTTGCATGTAAATTGGTTTATTTACTCTAATCACTCAAAAATATTACTGCTGTCTATGAATTCTTTTGGAGATTTTCAACCCCTCCACATTTTAMCTGGAAATATTAACAAACTGACAAAATTAGAAAGTATTAATAAAATCATCTAATTAATAATGATGATGAAATTTTATTTTTATTTTTTTGTAGTTGATTTAGATATTTCTCTTAATATACCAAATCAATCAATTAGTGAACGAAATATTGTAATGACAACTGTATACAACATACTCAGGATATTAGTTTTACCAACAAGTCATAGTCGTAATGAAATAATAATTTATTCGTTAAACAAGTATAGTGTATTATAATTTAATTATATTATGTATAAACACATTAATCTATGTTTCACAAAAAAAAAAACAATTAATTATTTTTTTACAGAATGATGACGTTTAAAAAATCACATATTCTACGATTAACACACAWTGGTAAATTATTGATTAATGTAGTTGATAATTTGATTGTCGTTCATTACCAACACACAAAGGTTATTTATCATTAAGCTTGTGGTATTTATAAATATAATACATTAATCTATAACATATAATTTTTATTATTTAGTCTTCTTCTGTATTTGACATATATATGGAAGCTGCAAAAGAGCATACGGTATCACATTATTTACCTATCTTAGATAATCTATCAATTAAAAGAACAGTTCAAAGAGAAGGAGGAGCATATTACATTTCTCATCTATGTATCCTTTTTTTATAATTGAAATATAAAGCAATTTGAAATTTAATTATATTTACTTAATAATTGAATTTTAAGGCAAAATAAATACTTGAGTCACTTTATTCTGTCCAATATACACAATAGCTATGAAAATATTATTTCATAATAACACATTTTTTTTTTTCATTTGAAAATACAAAATAATTATTAAAAACTAATAAAACATAAGAAAGCTTATTTTACTTTCATTTTGAAATTGACATTTAATTGTATCAAATAATGTATTTTGTTGAAAATTATTTATACATTTTGTGCTCCAACTTTATAGTTGGGATACCTCTGTTCATACGATAATTGTATGATTGCATTAATGTTGACGTACAATGTAAAATTTTATCTAATCCTTGTCATAAATATTATAACCAATACATGTTTATTCTAGCCAGTACTTTATTTTTAAGTCCTAATGGGATACTTTTATTCATCAGTAGTGTGTTTATTCATACATTTTTTTTTTTTTAACTATAATAGTTAAATTATTTTAAATCATTATAATTATTCTTATACTGATAAACTGTTTTGTTATGATTTTTTTTAATGCATAGTTAAATATTTTTAGGGAATAAATACATGTACATTTTAAGGTTCTTTTAATATAGTCCCTAATCTAAATTAAAAGAAATTTTAACTTATAAATTGCATCTGATGACAATTTAAAACTTTGTTAGAAAAAAATTGTATGTGGTATATTTTTATATCACTTCTAAATTGAAAAAATGATATATTTAGGTACTTTAAGTAATTATTTTAATGTTTTATTTTGATTTCAACAATGTATTTCAAAACATATTCTATAATAAAATTAAAAAAAAAAAAAAGGTATTTTCTAATTATGATATTTTCATTATTATTCAAATCAAAATGATTCTGTACCTTAACTTTGTGACATATTTTTTAAACTGGTTTTAAAAATTCATATAAAAATGTTTATAATTAGTTTTGCAATATTACATGAAATAGTTATATTGATTAAATATTATTATAAATTAATAAAAAATAAAATTATCCATATGTTCTTTAATATTTTGATCACAGATTCAAGTATTTGCATTTCGTTTCAACCCAACATAATAATAGATGCAAAATTAGGTTATCTATGGTATGTACTTTATTTTATATTACAATTTTTAGTTTGTTTGATACTTAGGTTACTTTTTATATTGATTTTGATATTAAATAATTGAATTATATCAAAATTACTTATATAAAATATAATAAATAATAAATATTTTTTGACTTGGTCAAAGATCTTAGTAATAAGCTTAGTATAAGGGCTGGGATTTTAATGCCTTAAAAAATCTCAAAATAAACTAGAAAAACTAGAAAAACTTAAAAAATGCATTATCAAAATAAAATGAATACATTTATTTGCAAGAGCTAAAAAAAATTTTTTTAGAAATGTACTTTTATTATTTAAATAATTTTTTAGCACTAAGTATTAAAGATAATGTAAGAAATATTTTATAATAATTTTACTAAAAATTATTTCTTGAAAATTTTAGTTCTATTGGGAAAATTATTTTTTGGCAATAACTTACATGTTACATATCTTACAAAATAACACCAACCCATTGGTTGAAAAAAATGATGTCCAAATTTTTGTACTTCAAACGCATACAATCGATTTTACTTAAACAATTTACTTTTGGCATTTTCTATAGTCAATTTTGAAAGGAAATTAACTAGAATAATAAAATAATATAATAAATTCACATAGCATTTACGACATCAAAAGTTATACTAAAGAACATAATTGTTCTTTGATTTTAACAATTTAAAATAGGTAGACGCCACCAACCATTATCAAGGTTTTGATAATTTCAACTATATTATTTGATAATGTAATTCTTAAACGAATCCTACATGTATCYAGTAAATTAAATTAAAATAAACAAGTTTCTTGAGGACATATTTTGTAGCACCTAATTTTACACTAACAATTTGAAAAATTTATAAAATATATGCACTAAAACAAATAAAATTTAGCAGTTGAACTTTATTAGTCCAGATTTTGCTTAATCTGGTCACATTTTAAATCAGTGTATATACTATTATTAAAGAAACTTCAAACCCTCTAAACCTAACCATTGAAAAAATAAATCTTTGGTCACAGATCCTCAACTGTCCTTTACAGCGGCGTAGCCAGGATTTTTTTTCGGGGKAGGCTGATCAATTTTTTACACAGCRGTGCATTAAATACCTATACTAGCACGTCCGAAGCTATAGAAAACTAGCAAAATAAAGATGACAATTTAAAATTAGTAAAATACAATTTAAGACTTTTTGAGCGAATATCATAGATCATTAAAATAATTTTTTTATTTTCTTAAAATTTCAGTGGGGAGGGGTMTGAGGGGGTTGCAGCCCCCCCTCTCATGGCTACGCCACTGGTCCTTTAACTTTCACCAACACTATCTAGTATGTATCGTTTTGAAAATGTGGCTTGAAAACTGCAGTATCTACAAAAATATTAATTTGCTTCTGGAACTTCAATTCATTATATTATACATATTATAGATTGCAAAATATATTTTTGCGTTGATTAATTTTTAATTATTTAAGAGGACGCCACATCCATATTTGTTGTATCAGTCTAACAAACCCGTAACATACCTTAAAAATTAGAGTGAATTTAYGTACAGCAGTTTACGTTTTATTCCGATAGTTTAAAAATTAAAGTGAATAGGCCTATTAAGAAACTTGATGGTAAGAACATCATCTGTGTTTTTTTGGAAATATTTTACGATAACTCAGTTTTTAAGTGAGTTATGAGCATTTTTATTTTACAATGTATTATACGTGCTTAACTCACTTAAAAATTGAACTATCGTAAAAATGCTTCCAACAAAACACAGATAATGTTCTTACCATAAAGTTTCATAATAAATCTATTCACTCTAACTTTTAAGCTAACAGAGTAAAACGTGAACTGTTTAGTATAAATTTGGTATGTTACCTAAGCGTTTGTATAAGACTGAGACAACAAATATGGGTGTGGCGTCCTCTTAAGTTGAATTATCTGACATTTTAATTTTTTTTACAGGCATTTCAAACTAAACTTATCRGCTGTATCCAAAGTAATTATGGATAAATGTTCTCTTATTGATTTTCTTCTTTTACGTCCAAACTCAAAAGATATCACTTTGGAGGTATTATTTATGCTTATGTTTAATTATATTTAAATATATAAATTTACTAAGATTTTAATTATTATTTATGGATTATATGTCCAAAGCATAATATTTATCCTGGTATTGAAATTTTATTACATTTAGGTACATTGTCATTTTTGATATTTTGTTAATGAAGTACAT